CACGAACACAAAGATTTTTGTTCGTTTACCGTTCGTGTTCGTTCGTTTGTTCTAAGTTAAACGAACGAACATATACAAGCCTCCGTTCGTGTTCATTTACAGATTGTGACTTAGGGTTTGAGAGATTTTAGGAGATATTTGAATTTTGATTTTCATTTCATTCTTTTTTTCCTACCATACGGCTCTTATGGATGGATTGAGACTTAGGATGTTTGGTTCATAGAATTTGGTGGAATTGGAATGTCCAAATCTTTGACCAAATTCCAAATACCATGTTTGGTTAATATAATAGATGTGAAAGAATCCTTCCAATTCCAACAAATTTCTTAAGTCACAGATTTCACAATTCCACCGCATATACCACGGATTTCAAATTTCAATCCAACAAATTCCTTAGCCCTCATCCAAATTCATCGACGTTGTATCTCGATTTGCTCTTCTCTGCTCTGCTATGCTCCATCTCCTTTGCTCGATCTCGTTTAAAACTAGGAATGGCAACGGGCCAGGTTCGGACCGGTTATTGGTATCCCCGTCCCCGAAACTAATAACTAAAATTGTCTCCGTGACCGCCCCGATCCCCGTCAGGGATCCCCAGCGGGTCCCCACGGTTTCCCCAATCCCCGTTGGGGAACCCGTTAAGATAAAAATCCTCCTTTTTCCGTTCACCATTGATTATAACCGAAACCCGAAACAGATATAAAAAAATTACAATATGTTAATTTTTACAACTAAAAGTAAATTACAATTTTTTTAAAGATGCAAGTTTAAATGTTTCAAATATAATCAAACCAATTACAAACAATGTATTAGATTACAATATAAAACTAAAAAGAACTTCAAACATCATACAACTAAAATCACGATTTCATAATTAGACAAATAAACTAGATTTTTTCGTGAGCCTTATTTGGATTGTTGAAGTAAAGTGGATAAAAGTTTTTTAAATTTTAATGTTATTATTGTCTTTTAATGATATTATATATATATATATATATATGTATATGTATGTATGTATATAAATTAAAATAAATAAATAAATATATATATATATATATATATACACACATATCAGGTCGGGCTGGGTCAGGCCGATGATCACCGTCCCCGTCCCCGCCTCCATTAAAATCCCCGAATTTGTCCCCGATCCCCACCCCGTCCCTGAACCCGGCCCGAAAGTTTCGGTTTTCGATTTTCACCATCTGATTCGTTTTTTTTGCCATCCATATTCAAAACTGCTCGATCTCATTCACTCTGCTCGATCTCATTCACTCTGCTCAATCTGGTATGCTCGACCTCTCTCTCTCTCATTCTTTCCATCCTAAAAAGAATTTTCTCGAAATGCCATCTATGTATTTTCTCGTTGAATTCCGTGAACGAAACAAAAAAAATTCCAATTCCATTAAGAACTCCATTCCAATTCCATCCAACCAAACACAATCAAAAGACATGGTCAAATTCCATCAAATTTCATTACATGCCCCCAAAGTCAAATTCATTTGATTAATTCCAATTCAATCGAATTCCATTCTACGAACCAAACGTCCGTTGAGAGATTTTAGGGGATATTTGACTTTTGATTTGCATTTTATTATCTTTTTATTAGCAATATCGTTGGACTTGATAGATATCCGGAGGTTAGGTTTTAATAGTTGTACATATGCATTAATTATTTGTAAATATGAATTTTAAGCAATTAAGCACTAAAATGTAGCACTAAAAGTATAAAAAGTTGTGATTAAGAACTCTGAACCAAATGCTTTTTAATACTAGAAGGGTACTCGCGCAATACAACGAGATGCATCTTTATTTTAATATTTTATTTTATTCTATATCTCAGTCGATGTTATAGTATGGTCTTAGGTGATTTTAAAAAAAGCGATGATGTTTTTATTTTTGAATAAAATATAAATTTGAAGATATCATAAAATTTTGACAAAAATATDTCGATATTAGTATCAAATTAACTATTTAAAATTCCTATTTTTTGTTAATTTTTTAATTCAATTTTTATTATTATAATTTAATCTAGGTTCAATAATGAAGTAATTTATATTTGGTTTAATAATATAATTTTTTATAAAGATAATAATTAATTATTTTGTTAGAACTCGATATTATCCTAATCTATACTATATTATAAAGCATTTGGCTAAAACTCTTAAACTCTTAAAACTCTTAAAAACTCTTAAACTCTTAAAACTCTTAAACTCGTTCATTCCTAAACAATTTCATCCCTATCCGATT